TAGTATGTGTTTAATTTTTATTGAGCTTTAATTCACATACCATTAAATTTACCCCTTTCAAGTGTACAATGACTAATTTTTAGTATATTCACAAAGTTGGGCAACTGTCACCATTATGTAATTCCAGAACGCTTTGACCACTTCAAAAAGAAAGACTTCCCATGCCCACCCACAACTCTTGAAAACCACTAACCTACTTTCTGCTTCCATAAATTTCTCTATTCTAGATACCTTATAATTGAAATTATATGTATAGTTTTGTGTTTGGCTTCTTTCAATCAGCATATTTTAAAGATTCATCCATATTGTAGCACGTGCCAGTACTTCTTTACTTTTCATGATGGAATATCCTATTGTAGGGATATACGATTTTGTCTAACCATTTACCAACTGATGGACATATTTACAGTTTCCAGTTTCCAGCTATTATGACCAACACTGTCATAAACATTCATATACAATTATTTTTTGCTTTCAATTTTTTTCAGTATCTAGGAGTGAAATTGCTGAGCCATATTGTAACTATACAATGACCTTTTTGAGGAATGACCAAACAGCCTTCTACAAGAGTTGCACCATTTTACATCCCTACCATCAAGTTAAGAGGGTTCCAATTTCTCCACATCCATGCCAAATTTACTAATTTGTGATTTGTTATTCTACCTACTGTAGGGAGTGTGAAGTGGTCTCTCTTATTTTGATTTGCATTTCCCTAATAGTTAATAATGTTGAGGAATTTTTCATGTGCTTATTGGCTCTTTTTAGATCTTCTTTAGAAAAATATTTATTCAAAGTATATCCTCATTTTTGATTAGGTTAATTTCCTTCATATTATTACGTTATGAGACTTGTTTATTAATTCTAGATTCTAGACTCTGATCAAATATACAATTTACTAATATTATCTCCCATTCTGTGGTTTGTATGTTCACTTTTCTCAATATATCAAAAATGTTTTCTATTTTAGTGTAGTTATCTATTTTTTTCTTTAGCTCTTTGTGGTTTTGGGGTCACATTTAAGAAACTATAGCCTAATCTAGCATAAGCAAGATTTGGGTCTTTGTTTTCTGATAGAAATATTATAATTTCAGTTCTTACACTTTTTTTGGATCCATTTTTTATATTTTGGGGGGAGGGTAAGACATAGAATCTTTATTTCCTTGGCAGATAATACAAAAGATAAAGAAAACCCTTAATATTATCTTATTAAAAGCAGACCAATAACCTAAAAAAACTGTCATTTTAACAAGGAGAAAAAATAACCTTATTTTGTGTCAGTGTATTATTGAGCTCATTTTTATTTATTTTTTTCATTAGCCTCAGAGGTAGAATTTAGTGATTCATCTGTTGCATAACACCCAGTTCTCATTACATCAAGTGCCCTCCTTATTGCCAATCATCCAGTTACCCCTTCTCCTACCCACTTCCCTTTCAGCAACCTTCAGATTGTTTCCTAAAGTTCAGCATCTATTACAGTCTGCCTCCCTCTCAATTTTCATCTTATTTTATTTTTCCTTCTCTTCCTTAAATTCCACATCAGTGAATTCATACAGTATTATTAATTCTTGTAAATGGTGAGAGACGGCATCTCAGTTTCATATCTAGTTGTGTTTCCACCAAATTTGGTGAAAAGATTAATACTCTTCCCTCACAAAACCTTGGAGCTCCAACAACAACAACAAAAAATCAATTATGAATTTATGGGTTTATTTTTCTACTCTCAATTCTATTCCATTATATGTCTGTACTCAGAATAGTCTTGATTATGAAAATTTGTGGTTACTTTTAAATGGAAAGTAAATCCTCCAACTTTGCTATTCTTTCTCAACATTGTTTTGCTTATCCTGCATCACTTGAATTTCCCTATGAAATTTAGGATCAGCTTGTCAATTTCTGCAACAGCAAAGACAGAGTTCTGATAGAGAAGGTGTTGAATCAGTAGATGCACTTTGGGGAGATTACCATCTTAGAAACGTCAAGACTTGGGGGCAGGCCCGGTGGCCCAGCAGTTTAGCGCCGCCTTCGGCCCAGGGCGTGATCCTGGAGACCCAGGATCCAGTCCCACGTCGGGTTCCCTGCATGGAGCCTGTGTCTCTCTCTGTCTCTGTCTCTCTCTGTGTGTCTCTCTCGTGAATAAATAAATCTTTAAAAAAACGTTAAGTCTTCCAATTTATGATTATGGGGTATCTTTCCCATTACTCTGGAAAGGGGATTCTCCTCTCAAGCCTCCAGAAATAAATGCAGCACAACTGCTACCTTCAGCTTATTTCAGGGAGGCCCATTTTGGACTTCTATATTATGGAACTGTAAAGTATGAAAAAAGTTGTATTCTAAGAGCCACTAAAGTTAAAATTTGTTCCAACAGCTATAGAAAGGCAATGCACTTTCTCTTTCCAGTTTGTTGAGTATTTTTTTTTATCATACAAAGTTGGATTTTGTCAGTTGCTTTTTTTGGCATTTGTTTTGACATGTGTTTTCTGAATCTTTACTAACAAAGTGATTTAGATCACTGGTTCTCATGTTTTGAACCAACTTTGCCTTCCTGAAATAAATTCCACTTGATCATTATCTATAATTCCTTTTTTTAATGTTAGTGCCTTCACTTGTCAAGTGTCTCGTGAAGGATTTTTTCAAAATCTTTTTTTTTAAATTATTAAACTAAAAAACAAAAACCAGTTCACCCATTTCTCCCACTCCCTTGCAACCACCAATCTATTTTCAGCTTTTTTTAAAGATTTCACAAATAAGAAAGATATATGGGATTTATCTTTTACTGTCTGAATTATTTCACTTAGCATAATGCCCTCAAGGAACATGCATGTTGTCACAAATGTCAAGATTTCATTTTTTTATGGTTGAATAATATTACATGTTCTTTATACATTTATCCATCAATGGACACTTAGGTTGCTTTTGTATCTTGATTGTTGTAAATAATGCTGCAATTTAACATGGGGGTATATATATCTTTTCAAATTAGTGTCTTTATTATTTTATTTTTTATTTTTTAATAAATTAATTTTTATTGGTGTTCAATTTACCAACATACAGAATAACAAATCTTTATACTGTCATTTTTGTTTATCCATTTAGATAGACCAACCACTACTCTTCCTTCCTTCTCACAGGTTATTGTCTAATTTCCCTTTCATTTCATCCTGGAGAACTTCCTATAATGTATTTTGTAGGGCTGATCTATTAGCCATGAATTCTCTAACTATTTATCTGTCAATATATTAATTTCTCCCACTTTTTGGAAGTATAGTTTTCTTGGATATAAAATTCTTGGTTGACTTCACTTTTCCATCACCATTTTTAGTTCTGTTCTCCCACTGCCTTCTGATCATCATGGTTTTTGAAGAGTAAACAGCTGCTAATCAGATTGAGGACCATTTGTAGATGAGGTTTATGAGAGCTTCTCTAACTCTCTCAAGATGTGTCCCTGTATGCATCTCTTTCAGTTTATCTTACTTGGAATTTTTTGAGATTCTTGAATGTATAGATTAATATTTTCATCAAATGTGAAATTTTTCAGATATTATCTCTTTCAATATTGGTTTTTTGTCCTTTTATTTATCTCTTCTGGAATGTCCATTATGCATATCTCAGTACACTTGAGGGTGTCTCAGAGATTTGTGAAACTCATTTCAATTTTCTTCACTCTTTTGTCTTTTTGCTGTTCAGACCTTATTATCTCAATTGCTCTATCTTCAAGTTGGCTAATGTTTTTTTTTTTTTGCCCACTCAAAAAGCATATTGATCATCTACAGTTAGTATTTTTAAGACTTTAAAAAACAATTTTAGGTTCACAGGAAAACTGAGTGGAATATACATATATTTCTCATGTACCTCCTGCCCCTACATGTACAGGCTCTCCCATTATCAAGTCCTCCACCAGAGTGGTACATCTGTTACAAATAATGAACCTATATTTGACAGATCATTAGCATGCAAAGTCCATGGTTTATGTTTATGTTCATTCTTGCTATTGGACATTCTATGTGTTTTGACAAATGTATGATGATATGTATCCGTCATTTTAGTATCATAAGAAGTATTTTCACTGCCCTAAAAATCCTCTTTGCTCTATGTATTCATCCCCTGACCCCACCCCACCCACTGGCAACCACTGAATTTTTTACTGTCTTCATAGTTTTGCCATTTGCAGAATGTCACATAAGTTGAAATTATACAGTATGTAGCCTTCCTTAAGTATAACAGGATGGCTCTAGGGGGCTGGAGTTGAGCATTTCCCTTCCTCCATATGCCAGTCTGGAACTGACTGGATTGGTTATTTCTCTTCCTTCAAGTTAGTTAGGCTCTGGTTAAATAGTTTCTCCTGAAGGCAGGTGTTATTTAAAAACAATATGTCTCTGGCAGATATCAAAAGGTTACTTTTCCATCAGTCTACCAAAAGCAAAAAGGCAATTTTCTGTGATGTTTACTGTGGGAAACTGGTAAAGCTCCTGAAGGTAAATCCCACAAAATTGGGTGTGGGGGGTGTCACACTGAGCCTCCAACAATTACAGGTCAACTCTGAGGAGCTATGACCCCCATTATCTGTCTATGTTTCTTCGATCTAAGAAATTATAGTTTTCTTTTTGCCCTTTCCTCCTTTACAGATCCCAGGAGAATTGTTCATTTTTCAATCTGTTCATTTTTTTCTTACTGGATGTTAGGACAGAACAGTGACTTCCAAGCTCCTTACATGTAGAACCCAATATTTAATATTTTTATCTTATTTTTCTACTCCAGAAATTCTAAATTTTATTCATTTTCATGTGATTTCTGTCACATTTTTAATATTCTGTTTTGGTGAGACACATACTTTAGTTCTTTAAACATTTTTTTCAGTTCTTTGAAAATAGTTGAAATATCGGATTTAATTTTTTTTCCTTTAAGTCTGACACATGGGCTTTAGAGACAATTGTTGGCTTTTATTTCTTCTTCCTAGAGCATGGACCATACATTCTTTTTTTTTTCCTCCACAAGGTAGTTTTTGTTTTATGGAATGCTTCATAAATTTGCAGGTCATCATTGTGCAGGGGCCATGCTAATCTTCTCTTTATCATTCCAATTTTAGTATATGAGCTGTCAAAGCAAGTACTAGTATTTTTCTTTTTAACTGGGCATTAGAGACTCCTGGGTGGCTCCGTGGTTGAGTATCTGCCTTTAGCTCAGGTCATGATCCCGGGGTCCTGGGATTGCATCCTGCATCAGGCTCCTCACAGGGAGTCTGCTTCTCCTTCTGCCTATGTCTCTGCTTCTCTCTCTGTGTGTCTCTCATGAATAATTAAATCTTTTTAAAAGATAAACTGGGCATTATAACTAACATAATGTGGCAACTCTGGAAATTAGATTGTATTCTCTCTCCAAAGTCTGTTGTTATGCCTCATTGTTATTATTTTGTTTGTTTAGTTGCTTTTCTGAATTCAAGACAGCTCATAGTCTTTGTCACATGTGGCCACTGAGGTCTCCCCTCAGGGTCTAACAGGCCAGCTAGTGATTGGATGGAGAATTCCTTAAATTTCTGGAACCAATAAATCTTCCATTCTTTCCTAAGGGGCTGTGTGTGCATGTGGTGATACCAAACTCAGCAAGGTACTGTATAACTCTTACCTTTGCTTCCTGTGTTGACAAAACCTTAAGTTCAGCCTGAGGTTAGAGACTAGAATGTTCTCAGGGCTCTCTTATGCTGTGTACAGTTTTGGGTATGTACAAAGCTCTGTGCATGCACATGGCCTTTTTGACTCTGAGAAAGATTGGAGCTTTTCAAATCATTGCATATACATCCTGCTTCCTGGATTTCACTTTCAAGCTTGCCGATGAGCCTATTGTTTTTTTTTTCAACTTTTATCTTCTACTATAGGCAATTGCAATGTTAAATACATTGCCTTTTATTGTTTTCAAGAATCATCCTCATAGAAGTCTGTTAACACATTGTGAACTCTGAATCAGCTCAAACAAGGACAGTATTAAGAGTAAGGTCTTCCTTGAACCAACTAGACAGAGAAAACAATGACAATTCCTGGGAATGGGGCTTTGAAGGAGTTCCAAACTTACTCCTATACTCCTACCCCCAGGTTGCTGGTTTTTAGAGTTACCTCAGAAAAAGGAGTGGAGGGTCATTGTTCTTACCAAGATTCAATCACTGTTTTTTTTTTTTTTAGATTTATTTATTTTAGAGAGAAAGGGGGGAGAGGAGAGGGCGTGAACATGAGAGGGCAGAGGGAAAGGGAGAGTGAATCTCAAGCAGACTCCATATTGAGTGTGGAGCCCAACATGGAGCTGGATCATGTGGCCCTGAGATCACTACCTGAGTCGACACCCAAGAGTGCAGTCATTGTTTTTCAATAAACACTATCTGGATTGCTGAAGGCCTTTGCATAATTTTCAGAGTTTGAAATAAATTGGATGCTGAGAATGTTTTCCATGTTCTCACTGCTTTTATGGAGGAGAGAATTTATGGAAGTGCCTAATCTGCAATTTTCACTGAAGTCACTACCTAATTTTACTATATTGATTTTTTAAGCCCAAAAACCTTGCTAAGGTTTTTAAACTAAAGTTGTTTCTTTGAGGATTATTTTGTTTTTATAGCAATATAATGCTATACACTACAAATAAAGATGATTATGTTACTGTCTTTCCAATTCTATAATTTCATTTTTTCAGCCTTTTTGCACTGATTAGTACTTCTAGTATCATGATGAAGAGAGGTAGTAATAAGTCATCTTCCTTATATTCCCCATCTCAGTTTTGCCATAATAATTCAGATAAAAATATTCTTTTCATCCCAGTTTACTAAAAAATTTTACCCTGAATGAAATTTATTAAATTGTTACTGTTATATTTTAGAGATAATCATATGGTTTCCTTAAATTATTAATATTGTGCATTACCAAGTATTTAAAGCATATAAAAACCACAGATGTATGGTTTTAAGATGCCAGCTATGGAAAATGATAAAGTCAGCAGGCAGGGATAACAATGCTTTACTATTTTCAAAGAATGAATACCTGGGTACACTCAATTCCTACAACCTACTTGGGTACTACTGGAAACACTGATCCAGTTTAATGAAGTTCTCTACTGTCAACCCTATTAGGTGAATGGGACTGAATAATTATTAAGTGATTTTTGTCAAGTTCTAACTTTGTCCTATCTTTTAAAACCCTTGGTGAATAAAAATAACATTAAAATATTCAAATAAACTCCAGGAACTTGTATCTTTCAAGGATAAAAAGCATATACACTGTTGACAGAATGCCTGGGTGTGAACTCCAGATCTTTCAGTTAATGGCTAGGACTCTGGTCATAGCTCCTCTGTACATCAGTTTCCTCCTCTATTAAAATACCAGAAGTATCCTCACAGAACCATTTTCTCTTAAAAGATTTTATTTATGAGAGAAAAAGAGAGAAAGAGAGAGAGCATGCATGAGCAGGGGAAGGGGCAGAGGAAGAGGGACAAGCAAGCTCCCACTGAGTGTGGAACCTGAAGTGGGGCTCGATCCCACGACCATGAGATCACAGCCTGAGCTGATGTCAGACACTTAAACTGAGCCACCCTGGTGCACTTTTACAGAACTCTAAAGATTATGTATATTAAGTATATCAAGTGCTTGGCAAAGACCCTGTTAATAGGAAATGCTAAAAAAATGTGAGTTATAATATATATTTTCTTTCTACTTTAAGAGTACTGCCTAATATGTGGATGAGACCTATTATTGATATTTTACTACCCATTTCTACAGGCAATGTAAACCTATAGTCTTATCTAATTAATAGTTAAGGTCGTGCTATTTAGATTACTAGTATATAATGTCCATCCTAGAAAATCAGATTTAAATAGGAATTGTTTTTTTAAGATTTATTTATTTATTTATTTATTATTTATTTATTTATTTATTATTTATTTATTTTAAATTTCTTTATGATAGACATAGAGAGAGAGAGAGGCAGAGACACAGGAGGAGGGAGAAGCAAGCTCCATGCCGGGAGCCCGACGTGGGACTCGATTCCGGGACTCCAGGATCGCGCCCTGGGCCAAAGGCAGGCGCTAAACCACTGAGCCACCCAGGGATCCCCAGGAATTGGTTTTTTAAATCTTATCTCTGCATCTACCCTTTACTACAAAATCTATAACTCATGTATTAATGAAAGCTTTAGTTCATCATACAGACATATTACAGGATTTTCAATCTTGTTAAAATCTTGTATAAAATAGCTTTAAGAATAGCAATGTTTGGTGTTTTGCCTTTAAAATGGTAACTTTCTGTGTCTTATAAAGAATTCCCAGGTTATGAAGAAAGTTCTCCTCAAAAGAATCATCCCTTCATGATCATCAACAAATTTAATGCCAGTCATATAAAAAAACAAATTATGGAGGGAAATGGTCTATTGCATTAATGATGCAGAAATCATACATGGTATTTTGAGTCACACCAAGATATCAAAGTACATAAACAATAATAAAGATGATGAGGGCCTTCTAGAAGTGAGAGAACATCTTGAGGGAAAAGCTCTCTCTGACTTTTGAGTCACTATTTTAACTAATGGCAGCTTATTAGAGAATATAGCTGACAAGGTTTCATTCAAGCTTCACAAGAAGTAATAGAATTGGTCAAAGTAAGGGACACCATGGTAGCACTTGAAACAGTGTTGGTAAATATACAACATTCATTCATTTGTTCCTTCATTCAAGTAATACTGTTAAGCTCCTGCTGACCAGTTAGTATCAGATATCTAAAAGAAAAGGGTTGATGGGATATCTTTCCTCATGGAGAGTAGGTAGGCAGTAAACAAGCAAACACCAAGTAGACAAAATAATTTAATAGTAATTTTAGGGGCACCTGGGTGTCTCAGTGGTTGAGCATCTGCCTTCAGCGCAGGTTGTGATCCTGGGGTCCTGGGATCGAGTCCTGCATCAGGCTCCCTGCATGGAGCCTGCTTCTCCCTCTGTCTATGTCTCTGCCTCTTTGTGTGTGTCTCATGAATAAATAAACTTTTTAAAAATTTTAAATAGTAATTTTAGTAAATGGTAAGAATAAAATGATCAAAGTTACATAATAAAGAAGAAAAGCTAGTTGGGCATCCTTTTAAGTAAGTTTTCCAGTAGGAAACGCTTACTGAGGATATGACAAAGCATTTGGACTGAAACTTGAATGATAAAAAGTCTGCCATAGGAACAGCTAGTGCGTATTTGCTGGCACTGATGTCCTACATGCTCAGAGGTCCCGCCATTGGTGAATCATGACATTCTCTGGAAACACTAGATAAAAACTCACTATCTTTTGCAACTTCCTGTATCCAAATCCATACCACATTCCTGTTAGCATGTAAGGTGAAAATTACTTGCATTCTGGGTCTCAGTCTCTTACAGCAGTATTTTTTTTCCACCACAATTCCTAATTCTATTTGCTCTTCATTTCCTTGCCAGAAAATTCTTCTCCAGGCTTCTTTTCTCTTATGATGTTTTTGATCAAAGCCTTGTCTTTGCACTTAGGGACTCCCACTGTTCATCTGTGTACTGATGAGAAGTTCATCCATTGAAAACAGATTCTTAGAATCATCTTAACTTTCGCAGAGTAAAGCTAATTTTCCTATCAGCCCATCTGGTTTCCCTGTTCACAGTATCCTAGACTTGAACTTGACAAGGAACACAACCTCAAACGGGTTGCTCAGCCCAGTTGATAGTTGCATTTCTGAAGCATCATACATTCATCCTCTATCTGTGAGATATTTATAAAAGTTGAAAATCAAACTCTCATGCTGGGGACAAAACGCTTGACTCTGCTGCCTATACTGCCCCTCCATCCCTGATTGTAGTCCTGAAGTCTCCCCAAAAGACCTTAAATTTTGTGAACACAGTGGCAAGCCACAGCTCCCTGTACAAATACCCTTTAGTCAAGAAAAGACGATAATACAATTTTACCCTTCATAAAGGGGACCATGCTTTTTAAAAAAATCACTCTTCCATACAATTAGACTTCACAAACAGTATTTAGATGTTATGGCCTCCCATTGGCCATGATGTGATCTTCTGAATTTCATAGTTATTTGTGTTATTCTGTGTCCAGACGCCTCTTCACTCTGCCCTTGGACCCCTAC